AATACCAGCAATCTCAGGATTATTGCGAAAGCAAATTGCAAGAGGCTCTATAGCTAAAGCAAATAAAATAGGGGAAAGTGGGCAACCTTGTCTGGTGCCACGGTGAAGAGGAAAATAATCAGAACTATTGCTGTTTGTTTTCACAGACGCCATGGGAGAAGAGTATAGGAGTCTCACCCAAGAAACAAATTTGTCACCAAACCCAAATTTTTTTAATGTGTAGAATAGATAGTCCCACTCGACGCGGTCGAAAGCTTTCTCCGCGTCGAGTAAGACTAAGGCCTCAGGCACAGAGGAGTCAGATGAGGTGTAAATTATGTTCATCAACCTCCTCAGGTTAAAAAAGGCCTGCCTGTTTTTAATAAAGCCGGTTTGGTCAGGGTGTATGATATCTTGGATAACAGTTTCTAATCTAAGAGCAAGAATCTTAGCCAAGATTTTTACATCTACATTAAGAAGAGAGATAGGACGGTAGGACCCACACTCCAATGGATTTTTATCAGGTTTTAAAAGAAGAGAGATTGATGCCTGGCGCAAAGAAGAAGGGAGATTACCACTATTTAAAGAGTCTTCAAAAACAGAGAGAAGCAAAGGTGAAATCTGAGCGGAAAACTTTTTAAAAAACTCTGTGGGAAATCCGTCCGGCCCCGGAGATTTTCCGCTTTGCATTTGTGCAATAGATTTTGAAATTTCATCTAAGCTGATAGGTTCATCCATTTTTGCTTTTAATTCACTACTTATTTGAGGAATATTAAGATTGTCAAAAAATCTACTAATAATGTTAGGGTCTTTAAGGGAGTCTGACTGGTACAATGAAGAGTAAAAAGATTTAAATGTATTATTAATTTCTTGAGGGTCTGAAACAATAATGCCTTCTTGGGTTTGAATTTGGGTGATAAAGTTTTTTGCTGTTTTAAGCCTGAGTTGCAGTGCAAGTGTTTTACCTGGTTTATCACCAAACTCATAAAAAAGGTGTCGTGATTTGAGCAAAAGCTGCTCAGCTTGGGCAGTAGAAAGTTGGTTATATTCAGATTGTAAAAAGATTCTTTCATTAAATAGTGATGTGCTTGGGTGTTGTGCATAAATTTGGTCCAATTTACCAATTTGATCAGAAAGTTTAAAAAGTTTCTTATTACACTCCTTTTTTATATAAGCTGAGTGAGATATTATTTCTCCACGTAAATATGCTTTAAGTGTTTCCCAAAGTAAAGATGAAGAAATCCCATCCGTTGAATTGATTTCAAGAAATGTAGAGATCTTTTCTGAAAGAAACTCAACAAAATGGCTCTTAGATAAAAGTAAAGCATTCATTCTCCAAGTACAAAATGAATAGCTTCCAGGAAGGACCAGTTCAAGAATTACTGGAGCATGATCTGAAACAGTTATAGTGTCATATGAGGAGGAGTTCACTCGAGAAATAAGTTTACTGTCAATGAAAAAATAATCAATACGTGTATAAGTATGGTGCACAGGAGAAAAAAAGGAAAAAACTTTAGAAGTAGGATTTAGGAAACGCCAAATATCAGTTATTCCACACAATTCTAAAAAAGAATTAATTGTTTTAGAAGACTGAGATTGAAGGGTTGATTTGGGGGATGATCTATCAAGAACTGTGTTTAGAATGCAATTAAAGTCACCTCCCATAATCAGTTGATAAAGATTCAGGTCCGGGAGTTTAGAGAAGAGTGTAGTAAAGAAATCTGGGTTATCCCAATTAGGTGCGTAAACGCTTACTAAAGTAACTTGACTATTATAGAGGATGCCTGGCACAATCACGTATCTGCCGTTGGGATCTGAAATAATATTGGAGGGTTTGAACTGTGTATTCTTATTAATTAAAATGGCAGTGCCTCTTGCTTTATTATTAAAGCCTGAATGGAAAACCTGTCCCACCCATGACCTCTGCAGGCTTTTTTGGCACGAGATTTTAAGGTGGGTTTCCTGTAAAAAACATATATTGGGCTTTAATTTGTTTAGCTTAGAAAAAACCCTCACACTCTTCACTTTATTATTTAAGCCTTTAACGTTCCAACTAATTATATTAACCCTGCCCCGTCTATCTTGGTAGGTATCATTTGACATTAATGTTAAACAATAACTTGATATTTCTCAAGTAGTCAAGAGTGTTTGAATGGAGAGCATAAACAAAATGAGCAGACATAACGAAATCTAAAGGAACCAAAAACAAACAAAAAAACATAAAAAGAACCCGTGTCCCCCCCACGTGACCAGAACGGTCACGGAAAGTAACGTTAGCATCCATAACAAACCTAACTGAAAAGAACATTACAGTCAGGTGAATAAGAAACCAGTAAACAGTTTCAACTTTGGCTGTCATTTCGGCAGCGCTCCGTGAACGGATATATGTATATAGAAATGATTCAATAAACAGTAGACAACGCATACATGTATCTGACTTAAATATAGAAATGATTCAATAAACAGTAGACAACGCATACATGTATCTGACTTAAAATCACATACGACTATAAAAAGTAAAGTATTTTTAACGCACAGAAACTGGGTAAATATGCTATGGTATTGCATATTTTATTTATTTTGAGGCTTCACTCGTTTTGCAAAGATGTCAGTTCAGTTCTTAATTTTACTTCAGTTCTTGATTCGGACCATTTAACTGTTACGTCGATCAAACCTGATTCGCTGCATTCTTGATGTTAGCAGTGAAGAATTCCATCGCAGCCTGTGGGGTTTGGAAGAAATGCCGTTGTCCCTTGTAATCGACGCGTAGTTTAGCAGGATGCAGCATGCCATAGGTTACGCCAGCGCTGCGAAATAAAGCTTTCACATCTTTGAACTCGGCTCGCTGCCTCGCCACTTCAGCAGACATGTCCGGGAAAATGCGAATCGTCGCACCGTTGAATTCCAAAGAGCCTCGTTCACGACTTAGTTTCAGAATGAGTTCTTTGGTTTGATAGTGGTGGAGACGGACGAGCATATGCCTAGGATATGCGTTCGGGTGTGTTTTTTGGCCGGTGCGATGAGCGCGGTCAATTTGTAGTGGTCTCTCAAAGGCACTGTCTCCGAAAAGTTCAATAAAAAGTGAAATCATGAACGTAACCGGACTTTGACCCTCTAATCCCTCAGGTATTCCAATGATCCTCAGATTTTGCCTCCGCGAGCGGTTCTCTAAATCATCCACTTTGAGTTTAAGGGAGCCGTTTTCTTTTTTCAGTGTGTTGCATAGTGCCTCAATCGCTGTCAAGCGGCCGTCCGAGTCATTAAGTGCGGTTTCAATGTCCACAATCTTCTGAGCTTGTAGTGAGAGGGTTGATTGCAGAGTGGACACGGCAGAACGGAGCTCGGATAAGAATTCAGTTCGTAATGTTGACACTTCCGTGCGAATGGTAGTCGTAATTATCTCCTTCAGAGAAGCAGGTGTTAGCTCATCCTCCCTCGGCGAGGCGTTAGCGGCCTGCTCGCCTCCTCTTTCAGCCAACATTTCAGCGATATTTCGTCCTGATTTTCCCGGTTTTGGCATATTTGCGTATAGATATGATGCAGCGTTGCTTACTTTATAGATTTAAGACAAAGATAACTGAGATTAATAGAAAAAATACACGAATGTTCACGGAGTGACTTCCACCTGCGTCTAGTCTCCACGAGGCATACCGGAAGTCCGATGGATGTAATTCTGAATATCAGGAATATTGTTCTAATATAATATAATATAATATAATATAATATAATATAATATAATATAATATAATATAATATAATATAATATAATATAATATAATACAATACAATATAATATAATATAATATAATATAATATAATATAATATAATATAATAAAATAAAATATTTTTATGTAAACTATATATTTTATATAGTTAAATATATTTCTATAAATCTAACTATATAAACACAGTTTTTAAGGTAAGTTAATATACATTACATTACATTAGCAAAGCAATTTTATACTATTTAAACTAGTTTGACTTTTTTTTTTTAATTATTTATTTATTTATTTTTTCAATTTTAATTTCTAATTTGCTTGGTATTGGTAATTTTTTATAAAGTCTTTTATTCTCACAAGTGTCACATTTATTCGATTAACAATGTAAATAATAATATTTACATCTAATATAGCTGTTTTCTGTTTTAATATATTCTACAATTACATTTATTTGTGTGATTAAAAGCTGAATTTTCAGCAGCATTATTACTCCAGTGTCACATGATCCTTCAAGAATCATTCTGATATGGTGTTTTATACTGTATATGTTGCACATATTCTTGCTGACAACAAATAAAAACCAAATGGTTTGGGGACAGTGGTAGTATAAAAATAAAAATAAAAACTAAGTAATATTTTGGTGGTACAATCTAATCCTTAAATAGAATAAAGTGTTGTCAATTTATTTAAATTTTATTTGTTATAGAAATTATTGTCATCTTATTGGTTGTCTTCTCTAAAGCATGCTTAAAAAGTATGATATTTTTGCTCATTAAAAAAGAAAACACTGTAAGACACATTGTCCTGGGGAAAAAGCTCTGTTAGTACTGTAAATAAATGAATAAATAAATAAATAAATAAATAAATAAATAAATAAATATAAATATATATATATATATATATATATATATATATATATATATATATATATATATATATATATATATATATATATATATAATCAAATTAATGCATTCCTGCTCAATAAGGGCACACAATTCTTACAAACAACCTCCTGATGTGAAACCTCTGAACCACAGTGTACTGTATATACAGTAACAAGTCATATCTATCTTGTTTTGTTTCTATTTTTATGTTGCACAGGGGATCAAGGGAATGTTTGGGCAGAAGCTGGTGTCTCAGGTGTACCGATCCATTCCCTGGTAACAGCCGCATGGGAACAGCAAGGATAAAGTACAACAAAATTCCCTAAAATAGAGGTATGGTAGATGCCGGTGCATGTTTAAAGCTCAACTTGCGCCTTTATTATAATGCATTAAAGAAGTAGCTGAGTGTGTTACCTGGTCATACTCTGATGCTCCGGGATAAAGAGGCCATCCCAAAAACAGTTCAGCGATCACACAACCCAAAGACCACATGTCTATGGCCTCGCAGAACGGCAGACCCAGGATGATCTCTGGAGCCCTGCAGACACACATATACAGGAAGAGGATAAGCTTCAACAGCAAAAAACAAGTCAAGAATTATGCAGATAAAGTGAATCAGTTTGGTGCATTAATGAATAAAGTAAAGTAAAATAAAATCTAAAAAATTATTTGAGAAAATTAGTAAAATAAAAATGATAATAATAGTTCAATTAAGTAAAAAGATAAAAATACAATGTAATAAAGTATAAAAAATAAAATAAAATATAATGAAATTAATAAAAAAGAAGAGAAATTAAATTAAATTTAAAGAAAACAATACAATAAAAATAATAGTACATTTAAACAAAATAAAAAATAGTTAAATAGTACAAAAAATATAAAATAAAACCTAATATAAAAAATAAATAATTACCCAAATAAAATAATTATAATAAAATTAAATATTAAACATTTTATAAATAAAATATAATGAAATTAAATTAAATTAAACAAAAAATAAAATAAAAAGGAAAAGAAAGAAAAAAACAATAAAATAAAAAATAAAAAAGTAAAATAAAAAATATAAGTCAAATAAAAAAATTATAATAATAGTACAATCAAATAGTAAAATAAAAAAATATAAAAAATAAAATATAATGAAATAAAAAAAAGAAACAAAATTTAAATTAAAGGAAAACACAAAAAATACATTTTAGTAAAATAAAAATAAAGAAATAATAGTAAAACAAAACATAAATAACTAAAACAAAAAATATCAAATAAAACCAATTAATAATATAAATAAGCAAATAAGTATAATAAAATTAAATATAATTAAATAAATTAAATAGAATATAAATTCAAATGAAATTCATTAATTAAAAAGGAAAGAAGAAACTAAATTAAAACAAACAAAAAAATAAAAGTACATTTACAAAAAATAATAGTCAAATAAAATAACAAAATTACAACAATTTTTTTTATCTTGAATAAAATAAAACTTAAAACATTAAATAAATAAAATTTAATAAAATTTAATTAAATACAAAGCAAAATAGAAAGGAAAAGAAAGGGAAAAACAATAAAATAAAGAATAAAACTAAATATAACAAATACAATAAAATAAAGTAAAATAAAACAAATCCAATTATACTTTATTAATTAAATGGCAAGTAAAACAAATGAATAAATACATATTTTATAGAATAATAAATACAGACAGTAAGTAATAATTTAGGTTAAAATTACAATTAGTAAAAATGTTAGAAACTTTATTATTATTTATTTTTAAATTTCTTTTATATACAATCTTTAAAAGCACCCTTTTCCCCTATAACATTTGTGTATACATTTCTGAAGCAGTCTCATTGTTTATCTCCACCATGGAGACATTTTGGCCCAAAACCAGTTAATGTGCAACCTGTTCTATTGAGCCTGAAGCTGGCATGCGTTACATTGAAGCCGTAAGCCCTCATTGTACCCATTTAAGTTGACTGAGCAGAGTAATAAAGACAAACATCGAACACCGTTCACTGGCACAAACACAGCGGGTTAGAAAAGAGAGAGAGAGTTCTCCAATCTGAGGACACACACATGGTCAACACTTCTGGACACGGAGATGAAGAGAAATAATGCCAGATGGAGGAAAAACAGAGGAGGAAATGTGTGGAAAGACAAAGAGACTGATGCTCAGAAAGGAAAGAGAACAACACACATTTCAACAGGCCTTAAAAGTCCCGTGAAATTAAAGTAGCTTTTTTTAGATGCTAGTATCAGTATGTTAGTTATAAGGATATTTATAAGCTACACTGAAAATAGTGAAACTACTGTGTCTTTCATTCAAAGTACATTTTATATTGGATTAAGTGTAAAATGACAGCTTCTGATTTGAACCAGTGTTGTTCAATTTGGCTTAAAGCACTAAATTTACTCCCTCGGTTAAATTAAAAGCATTAGTATTAATCACAGTATTTTTTACTTTGTGATGACTTCTTGTTTATCAGGTAGTTTTGCCATCTGTCGTCCCTCCACTGGAATGTGAAGACAATGTGGCCAAAGTAAATCTCGTTTACTGTAGATAAGGTTAGCATTCAAACATCATTTTCATGTAACGTAAGCTGAATTTTTGCCCTAAGCATCTACAATTTTTTCAAAAAAACATGCTTCTATTCCTACTACTTAATGTTTAGAGCAACAGTAACGTTAGCTTACGCTCTTAGAAATAAAGGTACGCAATCTGTCACTGGGGTGGTATCTTTTCGAAAGGTACAAATTTGTACTTAAAAAGTCCATATTAATACCTCAAGGGTACATATTAGTACCTAAAAAGTACAAAAGTGTTCCTCTTAAAATTTAAAGCACTTCACGGGACCTTTAAAGATGGGAGAAATGTGACACACACACAGAAAGAGAGAGAGAGCGAGAGAGAGAGAGAGAGAGAGAGAGAGAAAAGGAAAGAGAGAAAGAGAGAGAGATAATAGGCTGACTCATCAGTTTTAGGGGTGTCAGTAAAGCACATCATATTATTAGTAAAAACAAACACTGGACATTGATAGAAAACAACCTGTTCCAGACTGTGTTGTTATTGCTAACTAACATCTTGCTTTAAAATACAACCTTGAATATAATAATTTTAGATATATTTAGAAAAACACACAATAAAACCGACAAAAGACATGATAAACTATGAAAATATTATAGTGGTCTATAGAGATGCTCCGGATTTTTGGAGCCGATAATGAGCCGATATCTTGTCATGACCGAAGCGGAGTACTGATTCTGATGCTTCAAGCTTCTTATAACTTTAACACTGCATAAAGCACATTTTCCATTTTACGTGTGATACTTAAGTGGAGATTTCGCCCTACCTAGAATAAATGAAGGATGTTGCATTTAATCCATTAAGCACGTATTTTAAAACCATTTAGTGTGGACATGTGATGGTCAGAAACAGCTTCACAGAAAATAATAGAAAAAACAGATAAAAAAACTTGGTAAGAAAAATGACCATCAATGCAATTTGGAAACATTGCAAATGATGGAAGAATAATTCAACGTGCATCAATGATGAAAACGTTTGGAGTGCATATTTGATGCATAAAAAGTTAAAATGCATCTTCTGCTTGTATACTCATAAACAAACACTTGCAATCTGTTCATGTGATCGGCCAAATTGGCGAGTATACTGATCGAGTAATAAAATGTGATTATCGGCCGATACTGATAATCCAGCTGATTAATCCAAGCATCCCTAGTGGTTAATAGTGGCACACACACACCACTATCTTTATGGGGGCTTCCCAAAGACAGAATGACTATTATGAGCAAAAAATATCCAACAAGATAAAAATGAACTGGTTTTGCTATACTTATGGGAACATTTGGTCTCCACAGTGTAAGGATATACAGGGTACATACACACACCCCTGCCACACACAAACACACACAATATTAATAAAAACAGCTTCACAATATTACCATTTAATTACCTTCTAATATTTTATTTTATTTGGAACAATAAATGGTTCAACGCCCAAACATCTTGACCACAACAGATACAAACCATCGCCACAAGTGCAAGAGAGACTCAATCTGGCAGTTTAATCTCTGATTGGCTCTCAGGCAAGGTGTGTGGCATGTGACATCATCTGTCATGATGTCATCACGCCACACAGCCTCAACCTCGATGTCATTCAAACAAGCCACAGCACAGCAGCCGAATGCATCTCTGTGACACGGAGGACACGCACACACACACACATGCAAATACACATCCCACTGCAGTCTCTCCCAATGCCAGATGCAAAGCAGAGCGACAGCTGCTGATGCAGGACTTTCACACACAAACACACACTGCACTAACCATCCTCCTCATTCCCTCACACATAAAACTGCTGCTTGAGATGCAAAAAAATAATAAAAGAAATTTACAGCCTGCTCCATGCAAACACGAGACCTCGTACAGGCAGATGTGACACATTTGGGTTCCTTTGTGGTGCATTTTGCATACCTTAAACGTGTCAGGATGTGACCCTGCAGGTGTGTTTGCGTGCATGTCATTGTGCAGATTACATATAGTGTAAGCATTGGTGATATTCAAGTGCAAACATCCGTTCTCACTGCTGATGTTTGCATGGCAGGACTAATGCACTAATGCTGCGAGAGGCTTATTTTTGTTTTATTTATGATTTATTTTTATTATTTTATCTATTTAATTTTTGTAAAGATTTAACTTATTGTATTTTTCCTTCACCCTCCATCATAAAAGGGTGAATGAAAAATACAATAAGTTAAATAATATTATTAATACTAATAAAAAAAAATAAAAAAATGTATACACACGAACCAATAAAAAAATAAACACAAATAAATAAATAAAATAAACAAACACAAACCAATAACATATATATAAAATATAAACACAAACAAATAAATAAATAAATAAACATGCCAATAAATTAATAAATAAATAAACACAAACCAATAAATAAATAAATAAACATGCCAATAAATGAATAAATAAACAAACACAAACCAATAAATAAATAAATACACCAATAAATAAATAAACACAAATAAATAAATAAATAAATAAACCAATAAGTAAATAAACACAAACAAATAAATAAACAAATAAACACACACCAATAAATAAATAAATACACACAAGCCAAAAAAATAATAAATAAGTAAAAATAATCAAATAATAATACAAATAAATAAATAAATATATGTATACACACCAACCAATTAATAAATAAATAAGTAAAATAATAATAATAATAATATAAATAAATAAATACGTATACACAAACCAATGAATACATAAATAAGTAAAATAATGAAATATTAATACAAATAAATAAATATATACACACAAACCAATAAATAAATACACACCAATGAATAAATAAACAAATAAATGAATGAATGAAATAAATAAATAAATAAATAAATAAATAAATAAATAAATAAATAAATAAATAAAATAGCAATACACACATTTAGGCTGATAATAGACAGAAATAAATTTTACATTTGAATGGAGACACTATTTAC